GTATATTTATGCATACTAGACATTGTCTCTACCTGTATATTTATGCATGCTAGACATCGTCTCTACCTGTATATTTATGCATGCTAGACATCGTCTCTACCTGTATATTTATGCATGCTAAACATCGTCTCTACCTGTTTATTTATGCATGCTAAACATCGTCTCTACCTGTATATTTGTGCATGCTAAACATCGTCTCTACCTGTATATTTGTGCATGCTAAACATCGTCTCTACCTGTATATTTGTGCATGCTAAACATAGTCTCTACCTGTATATTTATGCATACTAGACATCATCTCTACCTGTATATTTATGCATGCTAGACATCATCTCTACTCGTATATTTATGCCAATTACGGTAATGAAAAAAATAACCTCCATGTATGATAAAGAGTTAACACAGTAACAAATGTTCAATGTTTTGACAAAGTTTTTCTATCAGCTGTATTGACTTCAGTTAAAATATTGAGAAAATGCTTTATTGATATTAAGAATAAAATTTTGAAGTATAGCAATTTGCTATTCATTGTGAAAGGTTATGGATATGGTTATTTATTACTCTAACTCTTAAATAGGCCTACATTGATTAAGAAACTCCTGTTACTGTACACATAGTTTGCTATTGAACCATAAGCTGACTTAAGGCACTTACTTTCAATGTGTTTACAAGTTTATTGATCATTCATTCTCATACTTGGATTTTAATCAGGAACATTTTGACTAAAGTTTTCCTCATTTTCAAATGAAGATGGTAATATAAGTACTGTTATGTTAATTTTACAGGGTGAAAGAAATGTTTGCAAAGATAATGAAGAAGAGAATATAATCTATCCTAAAGCTACCAGAAGTGATTGGATAGGTCCTCCCAATCCTGTCTCTAATATTCGACCAGTAGTATACTTTATTCGAGAAAATGAAACAGCAGCAGAAAAGAGTTTTCGAGAAAAGAGAGTAGCAACCTTAGCATGGAATCAACATTTTTGGAGGGACCATAATTACAGTTTTCAACAGGTACAGATGTAATCCTTATATTGCAAAGTGTCTGTCAGAGAATAGAAGCTTTACAAGAATAAGATACTAAGAATTTAATACTGATAATTGAAACTCATAGTAAAAAATCACAGTATTAGTTGGTCTGTAAAGAAAAAAAAAAGGCAATATCAAAAACTTGTGTATTATGAGAACTTAATACGAGTATCATTCTGAGTTTAAAAAGTTATCATTGTTGTGGATATTAAGTTTTGTTAGGTAGCATTGAATGTTTTTCCTAGTAAGAAGTATACAGTATTTTATCGTATTGTATAAAATTTCACAAAAATATGATTATTAAATATATTATCATTAGTGCTGGTATAAATGCTTTTAGGTAGGGTTTTTAATTTCTTGTGAGTGAGAAATATATATATATATATATGTATGTATAAAATTAAAAGGGTAATATGTGTACGTGTGTGGGAAACTTCTTAAAGTTCATTAACCCTTTCACTATGAGTACCTCTTTAAATCCTTTTCTGTACAAGTCACTGAGTTACATTCAGAATTTAATTAAACAACTTTACTATAAATGTATGTAAGGGAAATTAACATTATAATCTATGTTATAATTCAAAGTTTTATTTTATCTAAGTTTGAATTCCTTTAAAGGAAACCTTTAAAAAAATATCTAAACTCCAGTTTTCTTGTCTCGTGACCTCTGAGTTATGAAAAATCTCAACTTTCATAGCATCTGTGTTGAATGGAATAAATCTAGACAATAAGTATGTTTACTTGCTCTATTCTAATGTTACCTTGGCATTGGGAGGGGGGCACCTTCCATGGACATATAGTTCTTTATACACAGAGTGGTAGTCTTACATGTGGCCTGATGTTTTTTCTCCTGTGGCTGAGTTTGTTGGAAATCAAGGACAGACTAGTGAGAATTGCACTCAGTATTGCACACCTGTTTTTCTACACAGACAGTTTCTGTGTGGATCTTGCCATCCACCTGGTCAATGTGGGATTCTAGCTAAAGTGTGAGAGTAAATATGTGTATTTTGGAAGTTTACGTTTTCCTATACTGAAAATGTATTTCAAATAATACTTCCCTTCCCTCACACTATCCTGACCTTCTTCCCCACAATAGCTGGTGTTCGGATCTGATAATCTTGCCAATCTTGAAAAAGTGAATAAGAAAGAATAACGGGTAGCTTATACATGGACCGGGTATAGAGGGTGCATTGACATAGTTGGAGATAGTCACAAAATTAAAATCACGAGGGGCAATACAGTGGGGTATAAAGAGTGGAGCAAGTGATGTAGAATTCATACCATTGCTTAGATGGGCAAAGAAGAGAGTCTTTTGTCAGGATAAAGCTAAAATGTGCCAGGAGGTATGTATTATTGGAAATACATTTTGGATACAGGAAAATTTAAACTTTGAAAGGTTTAGTAATTTTTATAAAATAACCAAAGCTTCACCTTGCTCCTCATTTGCTATATTACCATGCACCATGAGGCAATAGTATCTCTGCCAATCATATCATTCTGTTAATTGCAGGCACCTGTTAACATATGCGATCATAGATAATCAATGGTAAAGAACAGGAAAGGAAAATAAAACATTAAAAATTAACAATAAGTGAAAAGTGCATGTGATCCAAAGAAGATATTTTTAGCTTATTCAATGAAGAGTTGAATGGTATGTACAAATTTATATTTCTTAATTTTAAGCATTTCATTGCACTTTATTTTGATGATAATTAGTGATATGGTAGAGAAAATGGCAAAATAAAAATAAATATTTACATTAAAAAACTTTTGATATTCATTTAGGGGGTTCTAGGGGTTATGTAAATGAAATTTGAAAACTGTAAGATGTAGAAAAGTATTTTTATATTTAAAACTGAAAATCACCTTGCACTCAAACTATTCAGAGTTTGAGTGCAAATAACTACAATAGATAAATAAAATATTTTTAAATAGAAAGACTTATTTAAACTAATGTCATTCCTAAACTAATTTAAACTAATGTCACTCTGAATAGTTTGAGTGCAAATAACTACAATAGATAAATAAAATATTTTTAAATAGAAAGACTTATTTAAACTAATGTCATTCTTTGTGTAGAAAATACTTATAATATTTAACAAAATTTTACTAGTTTTTGTAATAATATATAAAGAAAGTTCAGAAATATCGTATTTATCATTTCACTCGTATCCTTTGTCATAACTTACATTAGCCCATTGCAAAAGAGTTAAACTATACAAAAATGAAATTAGGAGTAGGGAAGTAGGAATAACATTACCATATGTGCATGCATTGGAAGCTTTTTAAATCTCATTGAACTATGCAAAAATGAAATTAGGAGGAAGGAAATACAGAAGATGCCACCATATATGTAAAGGAGGGGTGGATATATATAGTACAGGGGGTGTATCTGTCATCTCTCAGGGCCCTATCTTAGATAGTAGTGTTATTATGTGTGAATTTCTTCATTTGTTTATAGACGTAGAGTATTGATACTGTCACCCTGTTGGGTTTTAATACTTGCTTCCAATACTCAGGTTTTGAAAATTGGGTACTACATACTGGATAAGTCTATTAGTTTTCATTTTTGATCAAACACTTTGGCTAGAAGTGTCTTTTCTACTAGAGGTGTTTGTTGGGTATCATGTTATAGAATAGGTTTAATTCACTAAGGATTAACTTGGCTGTCACTGACATGGACCGCACAACCATCAAATTTGTTCAGAAATCTACGTACTTAACCTCATATGTGATTAGTCGAGGCAGGTTACTTAAGTATTTTAAGTACTTTAAATACACAGCACTGCTTTTACATTTTATAAATTTATTTACTTGCATTCAAATACAAAATACCACATTCAAAAAAGCTATATATTTAGTTAGAGAGAGAGAGAATGTAGATTATCATATTTTTCCATTTTTAACGTACAGTCTGAAATTTTCTGATTATGTAATTTATACGCAACAACATGATCAGTCTACAGAAAAAAATCCCACTGCTTGACTTGCAGATTTTTCAGACTGTCTTGACAGAAATGATCTTAGGATACCATTTTGATATGCATGTATGTATATCTTGACAGCAATGATTGTAGGACACTAATCTAACTTGCATGTAATCTCCTGTTTGCTCTGACAGGAAACAACTATAGAAAAACAAGTTTAGCATATATGTCTATGTATTGATGGGAATTATTATAGAACATTGTTGAAGCATACTTGCTGAGCAGAAAGAGTAAGTCAACTCTTCTTCCTTTCCATTGCTATCAAGGGTTGTACATTTTTTAATTTAAATTTACCTTACAGGGTTAAGATTAAGTGCATCATTAAGGGGCAAGAGAGGCAAATTCTTACCTTCTCTTTATACCATTATTCAGTATTTAATAACACTGCTGCACAGAGCAAACATTTGTGGCAAAACTAGTATAAGGTAGTTAAGCAATGTCACTGAAACATTATGGAGTTAAAGATTAAGTACCATTTTTGCTACAAAAACAAGGAAGAGTAGGCAAAACAGACAAGCATTTGTATTAAAATATGTCCTATGATTATTTCTGACAGAGTATCCTGTCAGGACAGACAAGCATGTATAACAAATAATGTTTTGGGATCACTCCCGTTAGAACAGACAAGCATGTGTGCTAAATAATGTCCTGGATCATTTCTGTAATGATCCCAGGACATTATTTTAGCACAGTTGCATTTTTTAGTTATGAGAATTCAATGGTTGAACAGGCATTTGTAACTGCTTAAAAGATTAAGATTTCATCTAGGGCTGATTTGGAACCAAAATAAGCTTTATCTCATCACATATTCTTTGTTGATTTTACTAAACATCTATTAATATTAATGGCTGGAGACGGCTTGAATGGGTAATGAAGAAAAACTTTAATATAAGTTTCTCTTCATTACCCATTCAAGCCGTCTCCAGCCATTATTAGTCTCAAAGTGGGTTCCTCGTCATCGAATTTGAATCCATTAATATTGTTATTTTAGATGATATCCTTGTGAAAGTACATTGTTTTGACTCTGTGTGTGTAATTTTGAAATTGTAATGTAGAATATCCACACATATAATGTTATTACCTGGCACAGTATTTCATACATTATAACAGTTTTTTTATTGTTGAGTAGCAAACCAATTACAAATAGTATCATTTAAAATACCAGAAATATGTAGTCATTAATTTTACACAGGTCATCAATTCAAGGAAGTTTACATGAGAAGCAAGGGGCCAAAGCCAGGATACACAAAAAATATATGCCTTTTATTAAACTTTGAGATACGTTCCTTATTACAAATTAAAACATAACATTTATAATCATGACACTTGAAATGACTTGATTTATTTCCTTATTATCATATTTTTATAATTCTCTAATACAAGCAAAGGAACACTTGTTACTTACTTCATTACTAGGTTTCCTTAACTAATAGAGAGACTACGTACAGAAAATATTTCCCCAAGAGTGTTGAAGAAAGTTAAGGATGGGATATTTGAACCACTTGTTAATGTTACTCCAACTTTTAAGGAAGGTGATAAAAAATTATCCAGGTGATTATAGGCCTATTAGTCTTACATCAGTGGTGGAAAACTTTTTTAATGTTTGATAAAATATGCATTGAAATGGAATTTAGCAAAGTTTAAAATTTTGTTACATAGTCAACATGGTTCTACTCATGCAAAATCTTCCTTTACTAATCTCATGATATTCTTTGAAGTGATCACTGCTTATGTTGATAAGGGTATGATATATCCTGGTAAAACTTAATTTACTTTATAGCAATGGGATAGGTCTGCTTAATAACAGGAGATTCATTTAAGTTAGCGACCATGAAGTAATGCTAAATCCCTGAATAACTGAGATGTGATGTTAAATAGACTGAATATAAAGTGAAATCCCAAATGCAAAATCTTTATTACAAAACTAAATACAAACAAAAGGTGTGTACTTGCTCTAGGGAACAGAAGACTGCCACTTATTCGATTCTGTGTATAAGC